CCCCTGCGCCGCGCCGTGGCTCCACGGGCGCGGCTTCCCTCCTTTGCCCCGCTCTTACTGCGGGGGCTGGAGGCGGGGGTGCAGGAGCTCCCGCTGGCCTGTAGGCGTAATAACAGCCACATGACGCGGCTTCCACTTTCAGCACCCCCGCCGCAGTCCCGAAACTTTGTCCTTTTTCTCATTGCTCCTCTCTTCAGCTCTGATCCATTTGTGGTTAGTCCCCTCCTCCCCTCTCCATGGAACAACGGTGAACTTTTCTTTTGCCGGAGTCATTGCTCATGTTCAAAAAAACACATCTGCACTGCTATAATAACAGCCACATGACGCGGCTTCCACTTTCAGCACCCCCGCCGCAGTCCCGAAACTTTGTCCTTTTTCTCATTGCTCCTCTCTTCAGCTCTGATCCATTTGTGGTTAGTCCCCTCCTCCCCTCTCCATGGAACAACGGTGAACTTTTCTTTTGCCGGAGTCATTGCTCATGTTCAAAAAAACACATCTGCACTGCTACAGTTCTCAGTTTTATCTAAGTGTTTTTTTCCAAGCCTCAAACCATAGGTGACTCTTGGTAGCATTGGGTAGGGAGGGATGTTAGCGACTAATTGACTAGTCTACTGACAGATAAACAGGAGCTTAACGATTAGCACTATCGATTAGTCACATTCCCCCAGCCGCTGCATTGTACATCTGAGAGAAGCTGGCAGGTGAAGGTGCTGCGCTGGGTCAGCAGTCCCTTCACATGTTTCTTTTTGTTCATCACACACATACACGCTCGTGTGCGCAGTATGGCTACACTTGTTCCCTAGTTCGAACTAGGGATGCAAATGTAGCCGACTGAAATTGCTAAAGAAGCGGGAATTTAAATATCCCACGCTTCATAAGCATAATCTCGCCCACACACCATTCCGCTCACCAGCTGATTCAAACCAGGAAGTGTGGACCAGGCCGCATTAGTTCGAGTCAAACCCCTTGGTTCGAACTAACATTACTCCTCATTTTTTGAAGAGTAACATTAGTTCGAACCAAGGGGTTTGATTTGGACTAACGCGTCCTGGTGCGCACTTCTTGGTTCGAATCAGCTGGCGAGCACAATGGTGCGCGAGGGAGATTATGCTTATGAAGCACGGGATATTTAAATCCCTGCTTCTTTAGCAATTTCGGTCGGCTACATTTGCATCCCTAGTTCGAACTAGGGAGCAAGCGTAGACGTACCCACACACACAGATACTAGCTGCCACTTAGCATTGCACAGTCTAGGGAAGCCACACACAAAGGCACCAAGTCAGTCCCTGCTCCGTGCATTTCTTTTCTTTCAGCCTGGTGTGTGTGTGTGTGCGTGCGTGCGTGCGCGCGCGCTGATGAATGAAAAGAAATGTGTGGAGCTGGGACCAACTCAGCACCTTACGCAGCAGCTTCCCTAGGCTGTGCAATACAGAGCCGCAGTTGAGGAGATTGTGCTGTGAACCGGCACTAGCCAGACTGAGCACTGTCGACTAACTCTGTTGACTAATTGATTAGGAAAATAATGGCATTTTAACATCCCTTCTCGGGGTGCTCCAGGTCCATGTATCCCTACCTAAATTTTAATTGCTAAATGGAGTGACCTCATATGCCCCCTCTCTGCACTTCCTCACCTGGCAGGCTCCAGTATCCCCACCTCAGTTCCTTGAGTTCTTATATGAAACACTCTGCATGTAACTACCCCCCTCCCTGGTAAATTTTTAGCCCACCTGGTCTCAAGAAAAGCTTAAATAAATGTTCCAAATGTACAATAAAGGTTCAAAAACAGATGGCAAATAGGAATAACCCAAAAATATGTATTTTGAATATCTCATTATTTTAAACCATTCATGATTATTAAACAATTGGGACTGGGAAGCAGGTCACTTTGGGAAGCATTTAGATTGGAACCATACCTTCCTTTTTTGTTTTTTGTCCAATGTTTGTGGGATTCTGTCTTTTGACTCAAAACTCTCTTTTGGCAGAAAGCTATTAATTTTCAACCCATTTTATTTTTCATACAATTAAATGTATATATTGTGCTATATAATCTTACAATTTAATAGAAAAATTATATACTTTTGGTACCATATAGGTAACCCATTTGATCGAAACGTTATGGAGTTATGCTTTCTGTTGTAGCATACTCACAGAACTTCATAGTCCTATCTTTGAAAATATCCCTCTTTCTATCAATTAAACAAAATGGATAATCCCTCACAAATTAGGAGTATGGTTAAATTAAATTCAGAAGTGCTTCAGTTATATTCAGTGGGATATAATGTGGGCTTTATATATGATACTCTGGTTTTCATGTCTTTTCAGCCTTGTTTAGTGATCAAAATGTGGGAATCATTTGTCCTTGCTCACAAGTAAACAGACACATGACTGCATGATATATCATTTATATTCTCCATTATCATTAGTGGTTGGTTCAATTGTTTTTCTCTATCCTTGATATTCAGACCTTGAGGTTATCAAACTGGTTAAAGCATAATTTGAATACCCTAGAATTATTCTGTTTTCATTTTAAAATCCCAGAGAAGATTAGCGCTAAAGACTTTGTGAGTGTGTATCCTCAAGCAGGCAGCCAAGGGATGTAATGTAAACCTTGAAACACAGTTGGGATTTGAGAAATTAGCTGCGGGACTAAGGGTGAGTACAAATTGTCCCATAGGGGTTCCCTACTGTCCACCACGGGTGAAAGGTCCCATGATTTCATATCTTGGTGAGATACAAGAGTGGGGAAGTGAAGCATGTGAAGCACAATCATGTTCAGATGGTTCTTTGATGCAATTTGAAAGGATACCATCTGCAATGTGCTCACCTGGCTTGCGTTATGTGCTCACCTGGCTGGGAAGGATCATGGGGTTAGGGGGCCAATGGAGAGATCCAGTGGGCCAGGGGTGAGAAGTGGGCAGGATGCACAATCTGGTAGAAGTATATCCAAGTAACAGTCAGTAAAGCATCCCTCACTTCCTGAAGTACAAGCAGGGAAGTATGAAGGACAGCGATCTCCATGCACTGAGTAACGGGATCCACCCAGTCTCCCCAGTCATAATCCAAGAGGTCTCTGATCCTGTTGACTTCTGCTAGGACCAGCCTCTGATCCTAGAAGAATAAATGTGTTTGCTTAGGAAGAGCTGTGTGGTAACTTAACTGTGTGTAATTACTGTGTATAGCAGGGGTGGCCTCTAACTGATAAGAAGAAAAAGAGACACTGCCACTTGCACATGGAGTTGTAGATTGTGTAGCAGGAGCTCTGCAAGGAGGTCTGCCCCTCTTGGAGCCCATCAAAGACCTGGTCACCCAAAGCAGCTTCCAGGTATGGAGAAGGACCTGGTAGAAGACCGACAGCTTGGAGAGGTCTAGTAGAAGACCTTTTTGATGGAGATAAAGGAACTGCTGGTCATGTTGGAGCCCTTGGAAGCAACAGAGGAAAGTGTGCGCTAACGTGCTCACGCTGGAGTACCTGCATCATAGAGAAGCTCCTGCAGGATCTGGAGGCAGAAGACATGGACCTGTATGTGCAGGCACATCAGGCCCTGCCCTACCTCTTCCAGGGGAAGATGCAGAACTGCAGAGACCCAGTGTGTCAGTCGGATCCAGGGAGAGTACGATAGTGTAGAACTCGCCTGCTCACACAACTTCACCGGATCTGTGATGGAGTGCCATCCTCTTCCAGAAGGCAGATGTGCTTTTTAGCCTCCCTCTTCTTCTACAGGGCCCTGGGGCAACACCCCCTTCTCTCTGGCAGTGGACCTGATTAGAGAACATTACAAAAAGACTACTACCCATTACAGTATATACCAAGAGAAAGTTCTGAAGAAAATCTGATTTTTGACACCTAACCGCCCCCCTCAAAATTGCAAAATATAAACACTGAATACATGAAATGAATAAGCCCCTAAAACCAGAAATCCTGCTTA